TGTTTGTGTGCTGGAACTTCGATCAGGGAAGCAGGTGCTAGGGCCGGGAAGTGTGAGCCGGGGTCAGTTGGAGAGCCCACCCGAAATGGGGATCCTTAAACGGACAGTGTGGGACGAAGTGCAGCATTAATGTTTTTCTGGATAAGCAGAGACAGAGGTATCGAGGGGGGGAATACTGAGCCATGTTGAAGGTTCTTGGATGACGTCATGCCTTCCAGCCATGTTAATCCCTACCCCTTCACCCTGTCCTGGAGTGTACCACGTGGGATTCTGCTTCCTCTCCATGTCCCCCTCCCCAAATGGCTCGGAAGAAGCCGATTAGTGAATCAAGATTTATTCGCTGCGTGGATCCACAACATATCGGCATATGCTGCCAGCCTGGGGTATTTTCAAATTCTGTTTCGGAAGGTGTTGTAAATTATGTCTGGGCGTGTGTGCTGGCAACGCACGTCGGGCGATGTCCTTGCATTATACTAGGAGGTTCAAATATGACCAGGACTGATTTTTTTGTAAACAAGCCACACTGCGCAGCAGCTGTGCAACCGTGAGAGAGTGAAGCCACAACCTCCACCTTCCTTCCTCTTAGGGTTAGAACCTGTTCAGTCCTGTCTGGAAGTTGCTAGGGTGATGAGTGAACAGAAGGTACCGCGGAGCGTGGAACAATGCATTGTGATCAAATTCCTTGTTGGAGAAAACGTCCCATCCACTGAAATTCACCACAGACTCCAACAACAGTATGGGGAAGAGTGTCTTTCACAGACCCCTGTGTTTGAGTGGTGTAAGCGCTACATAGAGGGCAGAGCGTGTGGAGAATGAACTGCATGGCCTTCCTTCAAGACAATGCATGACCTCACACAGCCAAAACAACAATGGAAACCCTCCAGAAATTGAAATGAAACCTTCTAACACATCCGCCATACAGTCCCGATTTGGCACCAAGAGATTTCTACCAGATTGGAAGACTCAAATCAGACTTGCAAGGCATGTGGTTTGTGGATGACACCGTCATCCAGAATGTTCGGGAGTGGATATGCCACCAACCACAAAACTTTTTTGAAAAGGGCATCAGGATGCTTCCAGAACGTTGGAAAAAATGTGTTGACTCTGGAGGGGAGTACAATGAAGACTGACATGTGCAAGTAAGTGTATGGCAATTTTGGTTTAAAAAAAATCAGTCCAAGTCATATTTGAATCAACTTGTAGCTTAAAATGAATTCCTTTGAGACAAGTTAAAACCAGCTATTTGAACCAAATGATCAGAACGGTTGTCAAAAGCCGTCACAATGTTGCACAACAATGCCAATCTGCACACTGCTGCAAACCTCTGCAAACTGAACTTTGAGGTGTTGAAGCAGTCTCTATATATGTAGTTCTGATCTGACTCTTTCTGTTACCTGCTTAGTCCACTCAAAGGCACTTTGAAGGTCACTATTTCACCAGTGACCAAGAAGTGAAAGAAAGCAATGCATGCATGGCTTGACACTAAAACACTTTCTTCTGAGGACATAGAGACACTTGTGCTCTGCTGAAATTAAGAGCACTGAAAAAAATAGGGACTATATAGAAAAATGATGCTATGGTATATACTCACTGTAACTGTATATAATAAAAAAAATAATTGCAGGTACTTTCTCACTTGCCCTTGTACAGCCTATAAACGAGAACTGGATTTTATTGCAAAAATTGTAAAGTTCGTCAAAATACAAGGAAGTATAAACCAGATCCTCAAACCAATATCACTGTATAGGCATATAAGAAAGTGAATTTATAATACACTTCTTACTGGATCAACATTATAATATGGTAATGAACCATGGACAATAAGAATTGATGAGAGAAGACTGATATCAGCAGAAATGTGCTTCATGAGAACTGCAGGATACACATTTTCGGACCACAAAAAAATTAGGAAATTATAACGGAATGTCAATGTTGCAAAATTTATAAAATTCCTAAAAATGATCATAACAAATATTCATAATATCAATACATGTTTGAACAATGCCCTCCCCCAAGCTCCAATTATGTATAATATGGCATACAGTTTAAATAATAATGCAAGTACAGCAATATTTCTCATTCTTTGAAGTGACTGTCGAGGCACACGATACCGTAGTTGGCTGAGGCACTATTCTATGAGCTGGAAGGTCGCGGGTTCAAGTCCCGATGAGGTGGATATTTTTCTCTTTACCTAAGACTTACAGCCACACTATGGCCCTGGGGTCGACTCAGCCTCTAACAGAAATGAGTACAAGGTGTGGCAATAAAGAAACCGGATTCATGCTCTAACCCTTTATTAAAAAAAAATCAGATAGTCGAAATGTTATCCCCTTCAATGTAGTCCCCTCCCCGATCCCTACACCGCTCCATGCGAATTTTCCACTGTTGGAAGCAGTGCTGCAGGTCATCTTGTGTTATGCTCTTCAAGAGTTGCGTCGCTTTTGCTTTCACTGCATCCACGGACTCGAACCTGGTCCCTTTCAGCGCAGACTTGATTTTTGGGAAGAGAAAAAAGTCGCACGGTGCTAGGTCCGGAGAATACGGTGGATGTTCCATCACTGGAATGTTGTTTTTTGCCAAATACCTCTTCACAGATAGCGCGTTGTCGTGATGAAGAACCCATGAGGCATTCTTCCACATGTCTGGTCTCCTTC